TGCTACCCCACTGCTCAGAGTTCAAAATATGCCCTCTCTTCATGCACCTAAAGCAGCGGTAATGCCTCATCTAAGAAGCCTAGAGCGTCGCCTCAGTAAGTCTCCTGATCAAGCAGCTATCTACCAGGCTGAGATTAAACGACTGAAGCAAGAAGGTTACATTGCTGAACTGCAGTCAGGAGCTGAAGACACTCCAGTTAGTTGGTATATTCCACACCATATGGTTGAACATAATGGTAAACATAGAGTAGTTTTCAACTGTTCATTCCAGTTTCAAGGAAACAACCTCAATGAACTGTTACTTCCAGGACCTACACTGACTTCCTCCTTACTGGCTGTGCTACTAAGATTCAGAGAACATTCTGTCGCTATTAGTAGCGACATTAAAGGAATGTTCCACCAGATAAGACTCCTTCCTGTAGATCGACCCCTTCTCCGTTTCTTATGGAGAGACCAAGAAAGAGAAGTTCAACCCAGAGTTTTTGAATGGCAAGTTCTCCCCTTTGGGACCACTAGTAGCCCATGTTGCGCCGTCTTTGCCTTGCAGAAGCATATCATGGAAAATAGTCAGCCTGGTGAAAAGATACATGATGCTGTACTGAAGGCATTTTATGTAGACAATTACCTGCACAGTCTGCCCTCTGTAGATGAAGCAAAGCTCATGGTAGCCCAGTTGCAGACTACCTTGGCAGACGGAGGATTTGAACTCAGGCAATGGGCCAGTAATGCGCCTTCCACCATCAGTCACTTACCAGCAGCATCCAGATCGGACAGTGTTGAGCAATCGATTGTCAAGGGTAATGCCTCGAACCAGGAATCAGTGCTGGGACTGCAGTGGAACTGTCAAACTGATACTTTGTCCTATAAGCTCCGTGCTGTAAAGTGCCAAGAAGTTACTATGCGCAATATATATAAGGTGCTTGCCAGCCAATATGATCCTCTTGGCTACATCATCCCGTACACCACACGTGCCAAGGTGATTGTGCAGCGATTATGGGACAAAAGGAGAGATTGGGATGATCCCAGGTTACCAGAAGATTTGATGAATGTTTGGAACAGATGGGCAGAGGAGCTTAGTGACCTACAAAATATAGTCTTACCCAGATGCTATTGTACTGCACCGAAGGATGATCTTTTCAGCCAGCGAGATATCCATATCTTCTGTGATGCGTCTGAGTCCGCTTATGGGTCGGTCGCCTATCTTCGAACAGAAGACCGGCAGGGAGAAGTGGAGATCACATTCATAGTGGCCAGATCAAGAGTGGCTCCTAAGAAACGGCTGTCAATACCTCGTCTAGAACTATGTGCAGCCCTGACCGGTGCGCAGTTGGCTAAGACCCTTCAGAAGGAATTGACTTTGCCTATTCGAAAAGTTTTCATTTGGACTGATGCCACCACTGTTTTGACCTGGATTAGATCCGAATCCTGTCGATTCAAGGTTTTCGTTGGTACAAGGGTGACAGAGATTCAGGAGCTTACCAGCCACTGTGAATGGCGCTATGTGGCTTCAGATAGCAACCCGGCAGATGATATCACCCGAGGGAAAAGGCTGGCAGATCTAGGGCCACAAAGTCGTTGGTATACAGGGCCGCCATTCCTTCATCTTTCACCAGATCAGTGGCAGGTTACACCCCCATCCTCTTTTATTGACAGTGATGAACTGAGAAACACTACATTCTGTGGTCTGACTAATACTGCACATCGCTTGTCCATGCCTGATCTAAGCCAATTTCTGACCTTTCAAGAACTACTGACAGCCATCGCAGAATCTCTCAGGAAGGATGGGGCCAATCTATCAGCTGAAGACTTTCAACAGGCTGAGATGGCTATCCTTCAGCAAGCCCAATGGGAAAGCTTTCCCTCTGATATGGCACAACTTACAGCGGGGAAACAACTGAATAGCAACAGTCGGCTCCTTAGCCTTGCTCCTGAACTTGACTGTGTAAGTCACCTCCTAAGGGTAGGAGGTCGTCTTCGCTGCTGTGAAGAAATTGAGCCTGACCAGATGCATCCTATTGTGCTTGATTCCCATCATCCTGTCACTAACTTACTCATTAAGGACTATGATACAAAGTTGCTTCACCCAGGACCTGAGAGAGTACTGGCAGAAATGCGTAGGAAATACTGGATCCTTCGGGGTAGGGAAGCAATCCGACGTTATCAGCGCAAGGATTGTATGGAGTGTCAAAAGCTTCGTAAAACCCCACAGATACCCAGAATGGCAGATCTGCCTCTAGCCAGACTACGTCTCTTCAAACCCGCATTTTATTCTACTGGTATTGACTGCTTCGGGCCATACCAAGTAAAAATCGGACGCAGGAATGAGAAACGCTGGGGTATCTTGTTCAAGTGCATGACTACTCGGGCAGTGTACATCGACCTCCTTCCAAGACTTGATACAGACTCCTTCCTTATGGCTCTCAGGCGTTTTATAGCCCGACGTGGGAAGCCTTTGGAAGTTTTATGTGATCAAGGTACAAATTTTAAAGGAGGGGAGGGAGAGCTACGACGGGCATTTGACGAACTAGTTCCAGAGCTTCAGGAACAGCTTGCCAGTCAACAGATTATCTTCCGTTTCAACCCACCTCATGCTCCACACTTCGGTGGGTGTTGGGAAAGGGAGATTCGTTCCCTGAAACAAGCTCTACAGGTCACTATGGGAACTCAGTCTATACCCGAGGAAACTCTTCTCACTACACTCATTGAGATCGAAGGGATCTTAAACTCTAAACCTCTGGGGTATACCTCCTCGAATGCCTCTGATCCCATTCCTATTACTCCTAATTCGCTCCTTATGGGGCGGCCTGATTCATCCCTTCCTCAAGTGATATACCCTCAAAGTGAAATACTGAGTCGACGCCGTTGGCGTCATAGCCAAGTCTTAGCAGATCACTTTTGGAAGCGGTTTATCAAGTTCTATTTGCCTGGCCTTCAGACTCGTGGCAAGTGGCAAAGAGAGTCACCCGATATCAAGGTTGGAACTACAGTTATGATTGTGGACTCTCAACTTCCCAGGGCCCTGTGGCCCACTGGTCAGATCTCGCAAGTATTCCCTGGGGTGGATAATAAAGTCAGGACTGTTCAAGTGAGAATTAAGGACAAGTTTTATGTGCGACCTGTGGCTAAGGTTATACAGCTGCCTGAGATTCCAGACTAAAATTTGACTTTGACCTTTTTTTTAATGGGCAGATTTCCTCATGCTTTAGAAATCTGGGGGCGGCTGTTAAAAAGGCCCATTGTAACTGTATTTGTGTTTGTGTCTGTGAGACTTGCTCTGCCAATCAGCCAATGTCAAAGCACGCTGGCAAAGCAGCAACGTGAAGACACTAGGCTCCGCCCATCTCTAGCAGGTGGCATTGATTAGCATTTGTACTAAATAGCTCTGCATGTGGTGAGTGTAGCAAACAGACTCTGTGCTTTCTTGCCATTGAGGTGTGCGTATATTATACAAGTAAGTAGGTTTATGTATTTCAACTCATGTTAACTGTTTGATGAAATGTATTTGCTTATTTGATATTATTTGTCTACTCCTTGTTTAAGGATACTTCTAAGTGAAGTAGGGATTTGATTTGTGTTCACATTTACATGATGTTGCTTGTTTCATGGAAGCATTTCTGCTACATCTCATTGTATTTATCTTGTTATTTTGTGTTTCTGTTATGTTATATTGATATATATATTATGTTTTGTTTAGACCACACCCATACTCATGGCATCACGACTGTACTCATCCGCACTTATGTGCTAAACCTTTATTGAAGCTTTATGGAATTGTGGTGGAGAAAATAAAGCTTTAAAGAGAACTTTCTGCTGCTTCTTCATGTCTCTAACCGGACATCTGTGGTGAACTAGTCCCCTACTGGCAAACCCAAACTGATTGAAAGTCAACAGTTTTCTTTACCAGTCATGATATAATTATAGCTTGAATTGTAATCACATCTTTATTTGTTAATTTATTTTACGTTTATTCTTAGTATGTCCTTCCAGTGAATTACCCCAATGACTCTTAAAAACAGGAACCTTACAATGCATATGTAACATGTGGCCTGATATTAGTTTCCTTTTCCAAAGACTTTTATTTTAGATAGTTCCTGTGTCCCTGTCTCTTAGTCTGTAATCACATATACTTTTTCTTGTTGAATTATCTGCTTTGTTTTTTTTGTTTATTAATAAAGTAAACAGCTGAAATTAGATCCAAATCTCCTTCTCTTCTTTTGTGGCCTGCTAAGCTGTAACATCACATTCAATATTTATGTTTTTAAAAAACATAATTATCGCATAATTATCTCAATTACAGTATGTCTCATTTGAATTTGTGAATTTTGAATGTCGATCACAGGGGAATACAGGAGAAGAATATCGGCCAATTAAAACGATGACCAATCTCTTGGTGCACCCCTATTATGTTAATGTATTAGCTTTTATAATGCTTACACAAAATTAAATTCTGAAACATCTTTTAAGTTGAAGTAACCAAGGCTGCAGGTGGTAATATTATCCAGTAATATCTTTTTTTTTTTTAAATCCCTGACTTTTCATGATCAGATCTTGATGGATGAAATCTAGCCACGCCCTGCTACATGAGCTAATGCTAATTCCAGCTGAATGTTTTGCTTTGCTAAAAAATGTGTCACAATACACCGTAAAAAGATTTTTGGAGTATGTTTTAGTCTTTATACTTATTTTTTTTAAATTGAATTCAATGTTACTTGTCAGTTCTTTGTAATTATTTGTAAAATGTACTAGCGATTGTGAGTGAAAATTGTTTACAAGGAAATCCAACACCGATTTTTTATTTTTTTTTGTGTACGCTATGTTATTGGCCTGCTGATCTGTGCACCTACATACGGTTTTATGTGAAGCGTGGTTTGTTCTCACAAAGATGAAAGTCCTGTGTACCAGGATGAATGATTTTGCGAGTATTTGTGTGTTGGTTTGTTTGAGCAGGGATGTATGTAGCGGTGCGAGACTACATGTCAGTGTCTTTCTATGTGTTTCAGTGTAAACAATCAAGGCAAGTGTGAGAGTTCTAATGCAAAGAGATGAGTTGTGAATGAGTAGAAGAGAAATGGAGGGAGATGTTGAAAAGCAAAGGGAAGAGATGGGGCATTAGCAGAGCTGTGAACAGAGATCTGGGCTGATGTCAACAGGCAGCTGACACACATCACCGCTCTCGCTAATTAATTGGCTTTTAGTCACTGTCCTCTGTTTCTCTCACCCCCACCAACATCCTCGCCTGTCAACACACAATTTCTGTCCCCTCCTCCGTCTCCCGCTCTGTCTCTCTTTCGCTCTCGCTCTCTTTGCCAGCTGCAGTTCTGGCAGTTCTAGCTTTTGCCTAAGCCTGCATCTAATTATGCATGTTTACACAGGAGATGCTGAAAGTTCACTGCATGAGCTAACGCTAATTCAACACAATCACTTTATTCATACATCAGGTGAAATGACACATAAAACAAAAGAAAGAGACATACCATACACAAACATAGATACATAATTAAATATTGGTTACTGTAGTTGTATTTCCTTCGCCGAAACTCACTTTTAACTGATTTGCGGCTACGGGCATGAAGAGGAAGATATAGACATAATGGGGTGAATTCACTAAGATTGAATTGCACCTACCGATGGTGTTGTTTATTTGCACGGGTTGTTTTAGCACCCTATTCGCTTAATGAATTATGCAAATCAGGCAGTGGTGCAAAACACTGCAAAAACATCTCTGTGCTGAATACAATCGGCACGGCACAATTCCATGTCATGAAATCTTGCAAGCCGGGTCTGAGTGATATGACACGAAATAATCATCATGGTTTCCATGTTTGTTTGTTTTTTTTATATATATTCTACCAAAATTAGAATGTTGAATTAAATTATTCTTTTTTTAAATAAAATTAAACTCAACAAGGATTGATATTAAATTATTTTAAATAACATTATAAAATTAACAAAAAAAATCCAGTTAATACTATAATAATTATACAGTAATAAAGTACTTAGACACTCCGTTTGAATATTTGTTAACATTAGTTAATACAAAAACAACTGTTCGCTTTTTGTATCAAATTCATCAAATCACAGCCATTAAATAATATGATTTTAATCATGTATACGTAGTAAATGCTTTAGAAGTATTTTCCATTGTTATTTCATGTTAACTAATGTAGTTAACTAAATGGAACCTTATTGTACCTATGTGTTACCAATGACTCATTTGTTTGATTCATTGAAACGGCATGCACTGAACTGGCTCTTTAGTGCACTAAACTATACCAAGTATCTGCTTTACTGTATGTGTGGTTATAACTTCATCATGACATCATCGTTTGAAGAATTACTTCCATTATCAGCAGAATATGTATCAAACACAATAGCTCAATGCTAATTGAATATGGCACATCGTGCAGCAGGGCTAATTTACATAGAAAGAGGCGTGTCTGTATTGCAAAGAATCAAAATGACTTCATTAAAATAACCACACAGCAATTTTCACACTTTCTTATACTGGTTACGGTTGCTGGTTGCTCATGAATAAGACTCAGGGCCCACTGAGCAAGCGACGTCTGTGGACATACAAAACAGGTTGATATCACGTCCGTCCGTCCAGGCCATAATCTGAACGTCCATTGACATCCAGAATTAGTTGATTAATGACAATGAGAAATTATGTCCAATCTGGCTATAATCTAAACGTCCACTGACAGCCAGAACTAGTTGAGAAAAGACGTTCATACTGGCTATAATCTGAACGTCCGGTGACATCCAGAATTAGTCGATGAATGACTTAAAAAAATATGTCCAATCTGGCCATAATCTAAACGTCCACTGACAGCCAGAACTAGTTGAGAAAAGACGTTCATACTGACTATAATCTGGACGTCCGTTGACATCCAGAAATAGTCCATAAATGACGTGAATAAAGATATCCAATCTGGCCATTATCTTAATGTCCACTGACAGCCAGAACTAGTTGAGAAAAGACGTTCATACTGACTATAATCTGGACGTCCGTTGACATCCAGAAATGGTCCATAAATGACGTGAATAAAGATGTCCAATCTGGCCATTATCTAAACGTCCACTGACAGCCAGAACTAGTTGAGAAAAGACATTCATACTGACTATAATCTGGACGTCCGTTGACATCCAGAAATGGTCCATAAATGACGTGAATAAAGATGTCCAATCTGGCCATTATCTAAACGTCCACTGACAGCCAGAACTAGTTGAGAAAAGACGTTCATACTGACTATAATCTGGACGTCTGTTGACATCCAGAAATAGTCCAGAAATGACGTGAATAAAGATGTCCAATCTGGCCATTATCTAAACGTCCACTGACAGCCAGAACTAGTTGAGAAAAGACATTCATACTGACTATAATCTGGACGTCCGTTGACATCCAGAAATGGTCCATAAATGACGTGAATAAAGATGTCCAATCTGGCCATTATCTAAACGTCCACTGACAGCCAGAACTAGTTGAGAAAAGACATTCATACAGACTATAATCTGGACGTCCGTTGACATCCAGAAATGGTCCATAAATGACGTGAATAAAGATGTCCAATCTGGCCATTATCTAAACGTCCACTGACAGCCAGAACTAGGTGAGAAAAGACGTTCATACTGACTATAATCTGGACGTCCGTTGACATCCAGAAATGGTCCATAAATGACGTGAATAAAGATGTCCAATCTGGCCACAATCTAAACGTCCACTGACAGCCAGAACTAGTTGAGAAAAGACGTTCATACTGACTATAATCTGGACGTCCGTTGACATCCAGAAATAGTCCATAAATGACGTGAATAAAGATGTCCAATCTGGCCATTATCTAAACGTCCACTGACAGCCAGAACTAGTTGAGAAAAGACATTCATACTGACTATAATCTGGACGTCCGTTGACATCCAGAAATGGTCCATAAATGACGTGAATAAAGATGTCCAATCTGGCCATTATCTAAACGTCCACTGACAGCCAGAACTAGTTGAGAAAAGACGTTCATACTGACTATAATCTGGACGTCCGTTGACATCCAGAAACAGTCAATAAATTACGTAAATAAAAGATGTCCAATCTGGCCATTATCTAAACGTCCACTGACAGCCAGAACTAGTTCAGAACAGATGTTCATACTGCACTGTAAAAAAAATATCCTAATTTTACAGTAAATAACTTCCTATTTTCATCATTGTGGTGGCGTTCATGTGTGTTCAATTCGTAAATACGATCTTTATGACATGTCTTGAATGCATCAATAGCTCTATTTTAGGGACAATCCTTACAAACAATCATTGCTAAAATACATTACAGACTGTCACAGTGAGAAGATCTTTGTCCTTTATCAATGCTAAAGACCTAACCACTGCAGTCAACACCTTGGAGTATCCATGCTGTTAAATAAAAGTCTGTAGACAAGGGTTAAGGTTAGGGTTAACCCCTTAATTTCTAACCCCCGGTTTCACAGACAGGGTTTAGATATAAAGCCAGGATTAGGCCTTAGTTAAATTTGGGCATTCAATTATAGCTTTTAAAAATGTACCTTAGAAGAAAAAAACATTACTGGTGTGCATCTTGAGACAAAACAATGGCACTGACATAAGATATGTCAGTATAGCCTACAAGTTGCTTTCAGGTAATACAGCTCAAACGTGCATTTTAGTCTGGACTACAGGCTTAAAGGAGAACTCCGGCGCAAAATGAACCTCGGGTGTAATAACACATTGGTACAGACTAAATCGTTCCCTGAGATTTGTTTTCATGATAATCGAATGTAAAGAGTTTTATCTCTAAAAACAGTTTAGCTTATAACGCTAGTATATTGGGCATCGAGTAAGCAAAAAGAGATCGCTAGTTAATACCATTAACAAGGCTCAAATTAGCCCCACACTAACACGGCAGCATAATGAGTGTCCTTACATGCAAACCGAAGCATTGAGAACTTTGTAAGTGTATAGACAGTTTAATAAGAAGATACTTTACACAGACAGTACAGTTAGCGCATACAGACAGCAGCCATCTTGGAAAACAGTCTCGCATAAGAGAAGCACTTAACGCAACAGAGAAAATAAAAAAATAAATATAATTTATCTTATCTTCAATATCTACACGTACTGTTCGCTCACTCTCGTGGTTCGATTGGTCGAGACTGTTTTCCAAGATGGCTCCTGTCTGTATGCGCTAACTGTACTGTCTGTGTAAAGTATCTTCTTATTAAACTGTCTATACACTTACAAAGTTCTCAATGCTTCGGTTTGCATGTAAGGACACTCATTATGCACTGTTCTGATAAATTGCTGTTTATCAGAACAGTGATAAATAAATGTTATTATATATGGTATACAAGTTACTGTTTAATCTTTCATTTTTTATCTTTCATTTTTTATCTTTCATTTTTAATCATGCACTGCAATGAAAACACATTTAAACAATTGATTAAATATAACAGCCAGCCTACAAATACAACTAAATAGCACGTGTATATTTTTTTCCTATTCTTTCTTTTAAAACATTTCATATTGTCCTGTTATTGCAATGTTTTCACACTATTGGCTGTCTCTCCGAGTTGTTTTGAGCATGATTGGTTATTCTGACTGTCATCCAGGAATCTGGCCAATGACAACTATGCGCGCCTTTACCAGTCAAGTTTGAATACGTCAGTTGAAGTGAGTGGGTGTCTGTGCTCCTGCTCGGGACCTACTTCGGTTTTGTGGCTTTTACATTGTTTAAAACATGGATTATTTTACATCGGACTGCTAAATGTTTATTTTGAGCGAGTTGCGGGATGTAAATGAAGAACAAACAAGGAATATGGACAACGAACAATGGACATATTGCAATCTACGGAAGGTAACGTAAATAACTTTTTATTTTATACAAATTCTAATACATCAAAATATAGTGTATTAAATTGAGAATCTAAACGCGATTAGAGAAATATTGATATTAGTACGGTATTCCAATGTATTAGGCTAATTATGTGCTGAGCTAGCATGTGTATTGTCAGCTAACTTAGTTTATGATAAAAAAATAAAATAAAACTCAGCATTGGAGCTTTACAATGAGTGAACTGAGAACATTGTCTCTTTAGACAGAAGAACTCGAACCACACTCCTTTACTCGAGTCTAGAAGAATCTGCAAACTAGGCTTTTAAATTGTTGATCGCGGGATTTAACGTTAAAGTTAGGCCTAACGTTATTGTCTTGGAGCTGGTGAGTCAATTTTGCAAGCTTTTGTAAATGTCTCTGTTAGTAGCCTAAGTAAAAACAAATAGCTAATATTGCTGTGTGTGTTTCCTTCATGATCCAGGCATTTTGGGAGTAACGTTAAATATTATCCAGCCACACGATCTTCAGATGGTGAGTATTGTCATAAAATACACGTGAAATAGAGGCAGAACATGGACACTCTGCTCAAAGGCACACTGGTTCAAACCCTCCAGACAATGTTTTATCTTCTATCTTCTTGAGTTTATACAGGCCTAGCTGACCCAAAAATAAATGTCTAACTTACTTTTGTGAAACACAAGAATGTTGGGAATAAAACAACTGTATGAGAAAAACAAAAACAAATAAGGCATTTCTCAAGATATCTTAATTATGGTTCTACATAAGAAACTCATACAGTTTCAACATGAGGGTGAGTAGGCTAAATAATGAGAGAACTTTTCTTTTTTTTTTGGATGAGCTGTTCTTTTAAGGACATTTGCTAAATTAACCATGGTTTTTATTATAGTAAAGGTGTAGAAACCATGTTTTTTTTATGGTGGA